CCAGGCATCCCCTGGGCAGCATCCTTGCAGATGGTCAATTCTCTCACACCAGAAGCGACTTGCAGTTTCTCAAGTTGCTCCTGACATGGAAAAAAAAACTCTAATGAAAGGGAAGGAGGGGAGAAAGCAAAAAAGGAAGCATTGCATTTACTTTTATATGAATTGTCCCCTAGGTAAGTTATTACAACAGATAGAAGGCCATCTCCTGAATGCCTCCAGAGACGGGGCATTGAAATTCCTATTCAAATACAACCTCCAGCAGTGTTTCTCAAGTGTGTAAAAAGAGAAGAGAAAGTTAGATTTAGAGATTTGCTACAAACATCCAATTGGCACCAAGTACTTTCCAGCTCTTAGCATCCTGAATGACTGAGGTGTAAAGTAAAGATAAAGGGTTCTCCTTGACATTAAGTCTAGTCGTCTCCGACTCTGACTCTAAACCGAAGAGATGGCGCTATCCATAGATGCCTCCAAGGTCATGTGGCCAGCATGACTGCATGGAGCACCATTACCTTCCCACCGGAGCAGTACCTATTCATCTACTCACATTTGCATGTTTTCAAACTGCTAGGTTGGCAGAAGCTGGGGCTAACAGTGGGAGCTCACCCCACTCCCTGGATTCGAACAGTCAATCTTTCAGTCAGCAAGTTCAGCAGCTCAGTAGTTTAGCCTGCTGCACCACCGGGAGCTCCAGGCGAGATGTAAGCATATGCCATAATCTCTGCCACTGATAGCAATGGGACTTTTGAAACAGGTAAGTACAGTCATATAGTATATGCCCTGTTTCATTTCTGACTGTAGTGAATTTTCAGAGCCACCCTTCCAAATATGCAATGGGGTTAATAATAAATCAAGCAGAATCCAGAACAAGTGCTCTTTCGTGTGGCAAGATGTCAGCTTTTGTGATTTGAAAACACCCCAACTAAATATATACAAAGGTATTTTGTGTATATTTGTATATATAAAGGCATTTTGTTTATTATATATATACACACACACACACATACATACATACATACAAAGGTAAAGATAAAGATTTCCCCCTGACATTAAGTCTAATCGTGTCTGACTCTGGGGCTGGTGCTCATTTCCACTTCTAAGCTGAAGAGCCGGCGATGTCAGTAGACACCTCCAAGGTCTTGCGGCCAGCATGACTGCACATCCAATTGGTACCAAGTACTTTTCAGCTCTTAGCATCCTGAATGAGTGAGGTGTAAAGTAAAGATAAGTCTAGTCATGTCCAACTCTGACCCTAAGCTGAAGAGACGGCGCTGTCCATAGATGCCTCCAAGGTCATGTGGCCAGCATGACTGCATGGAGCACCGTTACCTTCCCGCCGGAGCAGTACCTATTGGTCTTCTCACATTTGCATGTTTTCGAACTGCTAGGTTGGCAGAAGCTGGAGCTAACAGCGGGAGCTCGCTCCTCTCCCCAGATTCGAACCATTGACCTTTCGGTCAGCAAGCAGATCAGCAGTTTAATCCATTGGGGGGGGCTCCAAAATATATACAACGTGTGCAGAAAAAAAGGAGGATCCAAACTCACCCCCAAATGATTTGTCCTTCAAATACAAAACGTAAACCAGAATTTGAGCAGAACGGGGCCTACTTTGATGAGGGTTTAAATGCTCAGAGAATGCACCTTTTACCAATTCTCTCTGTGTTAACTTAAGCGGCTTGCCCCCCTTTAAGCAAGCATTCCTCCAAGCCAGTGACGTTATTTCCTGCCCAGCGCTGCTGCTGCTCACTCTCTTCCCTCCCGTCTGCAGCCGACTAGACAGACCAAGATCCTATCAATACACAAACCTTTCAAAAAGAGCCTCCCTTTAAAAGCGAGTGCTTCCTTTTGCTTATTTCATGTGGTATCCTGAGGAACTCAACCCCACCCTCTTGCAAACTCTGGTTGGGTTTTTATTTTTTCTGCTTTAAGCCACCTTGAAGCATTATCGTGTTTTTCTTGTTTTTCCCCACTTCTAAAATCTTCCCTAAGGTTGGCTTTCCGAGATGAAGGCAAGCCTAGAACATTCGAGCTCCGAAAATCTGCTTTTCAAAATTAACAAGAAAAGAAGATCTTGCAAACTGGTCCTCCCACCCCCCACCCCCCTTTCCTTCCATCTCCTCCCTCGCATTTGATTAATCCTCATTAGGGCCCTTTGAACAAACAGAATACTCCCCTCTCAAATGACACAGGCAGGGAATATATTACACTAAAAGGAAAGCAAACAAGGGCTCGCTTAAATATAGCTGTGCTGGATGCGATTCCTGGAGAGAAAAGCAGGCAGGCACACAAACACACTCTTTAGAGCTGACATGTTTTCGATTTTTCGGTTGCAGATTAATGAATGGAGCACAACCGTTCTACAAACCATCAATCGGGCCAATATTCTTTGGCAAAGGGAAGGGATCTCACAAAAGGGATACAGCTTTAAGGGATGCACTAGGACAGTGGCTCTCATCCTTCCTAATGCCACGACCCTTTAATACAGTTCCTCATGTTCTGGTGACCCCCAACCGTAAAATTATTTTTGTTGCTACTTCATAACTGTAATTTTGCTACTGTTATTAATCATCATGTAAATACTGTGTTGTTGTAGGATTTTTCAGGCTATATGGCCATGTTCTAGAGGCATTTTCTCCTGATGGCAAGCATCCTCAGAGGTAGTGAGAAAACCTACAACAACACAGTCATTCTGGCCATGAAAGCCTTCGACAATACATAATGTAAATATCTGACTATGCCAGATGTATTTTCATCCACTGGACCAAATTTGGCACAAATACCTGATACGCCCAAATTTGAATTCTGGTGAAGTTGGGGTAGGGATTGATTTTGTCATTTGGGAGTTGTAGTTGCTGGGATTTATACTTAACTTACAATCAAAGAGCATTCTGAACTCCACCAATGATGGAATTGAACCAAACTAGGCACACAGAACTTCATGACTAATATAAAACACTGGAAGGGTTTGGTTGGCATTGACCTTGAGTTTGGAGTTGTAGTTTACCTACTTCCAGAGAGCACTGTGGACTCCAGCAATGATCGATACAGACCAAACCTGACACAAATACTCAATATGCCCAAATGTGAACACTGGTGGACTTTGGGGAAAATAGACTTTGATGTTTGGGAGTTGTAGTTGCTGGGATTTATAGTTCGCCTACAATCAAAGAGAATTCTGAACCCCACCAATAATAGAATTGGGCCAAACTTCCCACACATAACCCCCATGACCAACAGAAAATAGTGTGTTTTCGGATGGTCTTTGCCGACCCCTCTGACACCGCCTCGCAACCCCCTTCAGAGGTCCCGACCCCCAAGTTGAGAAACACTGCACTAGGAGGTGCCATCTCAAGGTGCAGCTTCATCTGAAGAGGCAAGTGACAGGTTTTATAATAGCAATGTCCTTTTTGAACTTACTAGGAATGTATCTATAAAGAATTGCAACCATTCACATCAGTTAGAAGTCAAAGGGACCCCAAGGAGCAACCATTCTCCAAACCTGACCGAGTCTATGCTGCTTCCAAGATGTTTTTCTTTCCAACCATCCCCAGAAACTGAGCCATTCCTAGACACAAACTTTAATGAGTCTGCCTGAGCTACCAAAATGCCTTGCACTCCACTTTAATCACCAAAAGCCAGCCTGAACTTGCAACCTTGCAAAAAAAAGCAGGAGCCTTCTCCGGCACACCCTTGCAGTGGACAGTATATAATTTAGCTCTCGGTGCATAAATCACATAGGCAGACAATGGCCTCAGCGAACTGCTGGAAAGGAGCTGCTTAGTCTGCTGGAAGCCTCCGTCTACAATCCCAACCAGTTCTTAACAACAGAGGATGGAGAAAGGCTTATTATTATGACAGAAGGAGTGCAAATGAGAGGTGGCCATACTGCCATTGCCAGAAAAAATCAATTCTCAGACCAATAGGAACTACTCTGCATAAAGCCATATAATGACAATGAATTGAAGAGCCATACTATAGAAAGCTCAAAGGGATTTTGTAACCAGAGGTCAGATCACATCACCAAAAGTCTTAATATGTGGTGGCTAGCAAAGTCAGGAAAATTCAAGACAATAGTTGGCCTTTATTTCTCTAGCTTTGCTTGCCACCTATACGCCTAGGTATGGAATATGGATATTGCAAGATACGAAATCACTTTTCCATTCTGAGACCAAATCAAGTGTGAAATAATTATGACCAATAGCAGCTTTCTTTGGCACTGCAATTTTGGCTTTTTGGACATTAAGGGCACACAAGCCTCTGTGTTCACTATGGAGAAGAAACCAATTCAGTGTTTTTGACAGGTATGTATAGGAGTGCAATGGTTAAATCTTTGTGCAAATAGGACTGATTGACAGACAGGTTGGCGGTTTGAATCCAGGGAGCATGAGAGAAGTGTCCCACAGGATGGTAAAACATCAATCATTCAGGCCTCCCCTGGGCAACATCCCTGCAGACAGCCAATTCTCTCACACAGAAGCCACTCGCAGTTTCACAAGTCGCTTCAAAACAGGTACGTATTGCTTCACTTCTGTCTCCTCTTTGGGCTAGTGGTCTGAATACTCCTGGCAGTCCCAACTCCAAATCAATGGGATCTATTTATATGACTCACTATTCAACAACCGAGTGAGTGCATCTAATTTAAATTGGAAAAATCAATGACCATTCAGACCAAATTGAGCTCCATCATCCATTGAAAGTCTTTAAGACAAATGAGTTGCTGATGGTTCCTAACATTTGTGAATCCAAAAATCCCTGCTCTCAGAGGAGGAAAACAAGACTAGCAGTTGTCTATCCCACCAGTTTACCAAAGCAGAATTAATTCTCGCTGTTGCTTCAACCATAACAATGCAAAACACCAGAGGTTGGCCAAGTGGCCCCCTTTTTTTTGGACTACAATTCTCAGACTCTCCCATCCTGCAGCCATGCGCAAAACAGGAGCTCGACTGATTCAAAGTACTGAAAATGCACAACGGCAAGGATCCAAATGAAACCCTGTTTCTTACCTGAAAGCCCCCCAGGGGCAAGATAATTAGTTCCTCCCGTCTCGGTGGAGGAAGGCACAGAGTCTGGACAACTTGCTGCAACAGAAAAAAAAGGAAACAAATTAAGAAATGAGCATGATGTACCACTTTAAGGGGAAAAAAACAAAATTAAAAAAGCTAGCTGCAAACAGTGTCTCCAGACAAATGAAGCACATTCCACAGGGTTTACTAGGAAGTTATTACTAATTGTCTGCCCAGAGACAGCGCAGTCCTTTATGATACACCCACCCAAACTCATCACCCGTGTCTCGGCTCCACTCTGCCACTTAATCACATTAGTCAATGAGCACATGGTCACAGACCGGCTGGAATGGCCTCCCACTTTTTCTTTTGTGGGTTGGGTTTGTTTCCCTGGTAGTCACCGAGTGCTGAAATCCAGTGTGCCATGCCTAAGCTGGAGCTCGAGATCAAAAAAGGAGTTTGCATTGCTCCATTATTGAGATGAACCAAGGCAGAGAGTTGAGCAAAAGAGGAAAGAAGAGGAAACACTCTTTGCCAAAAGCATTTCAATAATTTTCCAATTTTTTTATGTTCCTCCTATTTTCTTATTATTTTAACAGGAACCCATCCATATTTCTGCCTTCTTCTGCCAATGGTTCCAACTATTATTTTCCAGCATTTTGGGTGTTTTTAATATTTGTTGGCTGTTCCTAAGAAAATCAAGACCACTTCATTTTCCATTAAGGGTATCATGCTGGAAGAAGAGATATAACATTGAAATATGGAGTATCGCAAATCTGATTTTCTTTCCAGATGAAACTATGCAAAAAAATTATTGCCAACACCTCTATTAATATTGATGGCTGCTCGGAAGATAGACAGCATGTTGCTGTCCCCAGAAACTGACATTAGGGGAAAGCTACATTTTGAACTACAACTCCCAGAATTCCAGAGGAAGCACTGACATTGGCCATGCTGCCTGAAGCATTTTGGGAATTATAGTCCAAAGAAACTGACATTTCCAAAACTTGCCCAAGCCAATGGCATATCCCTACAGAGATAAACATTCATTATAGCAATGACTTTTCTTTAGACCAGTGTTTCTCAACCTTCCCAATGCCGTGACCTCTTAATACAGTTCCCCATGTTGTGGTGACCCCTCAACCATAAAATTATTTTGTTGCTACTTCATAACTGTCATTTTGCTACTGTTATGAATTGTATGTAAATAATGTAATTGTAATGTAAACATTTAATGTGAATAATAATAATAATAATAATAATAATAATAATAATAATATCTGATATGCAGGATGTATTTCACTCACTGGACCAAATTTGGCACAAATACCAAATATGCCCAAATTTGAATACCAGTGGAGTTGATTTTGTCATTTGGGAGTTGTGTTGCTGGGACATATAGTTCACCTATAAACAGAGAGCATTCTGAACTCCACCAACGATGGAATTGAACCAAACTTGGCACACAGAACTCCCACAACAGAAACTCCAACAGAAAATACTGGAAGCATTTGGTGAGCATTGACCTTGAGTTTGGGATTTGTAGTTCACCCACATCCAGAGAGCACTGTGGACTCAAACAATGATGGATCTGAACCAAATTTGGCACACATACTTAATATGCCCAAATATGAACACTGATGGAGTTTGGGGAAAGTAGACCTTGACATTTGGGAGTTGTGGTTGCTGGAATTTATAGTTCACCTACAATCAAAGAGCATTCTGAACCCCATCAATGATATAATTGGACCAAACTTCCCACTCAGAGCTCCCATGACCAACAGAAAATATTTTGGCAACTCCTCTGACACCCCCTTGTAACCCCCAGTTGAGAATGCTGCTTTAGAGCAAACAGTACCAAAACACACTGCTCCTAGTACGTGCCTTCTCTGGTGTGACTTTTTGCCTCTTACAATCCCTTTTAAACTTCACAAAATACCCAGAACAACCCTCTTTGTGCCTCATTAACAATAAATCTCAATAGTGCACCCTCCATTAATTGGATAACTTAAGGGGCTCAAAATGACACTTCTTGGAACTCGGGAACGCTGGCTAGACATGTTTATAAAGCCCTTGTTATATAAAGTAGAAGATTTCCTAAACAATAACAAGGTCTAAGTGCCTGGAAGAGATTTCTTTCCAAGATCTCAGCAACTAAAATTCAGAGACAGATTTTTTTTTCAATGATCTGGTCTGTTATAAACAGCAGCAAAATATCTATGAGTCACATTCCCAAGAGAACCAGGGTGGCAGTGGGTTTCAATGTTGGATAATGACTCTGGAGACCTGGGTTTGAATCCCTTCCATCTGTGAAACCCCACTGACCCTGGGCATGTCACACTCTCTCAGCCTCTGAACAAATGTTGCCAAGGAAATTCTGTGACAGGTTTGCCTTAAGAGTTGCCATACATCTGAAACCCAGATCAAACTGGACTCATACTGTTCATTAAAAAGCAAACTCTTCCAAATGAAAACAAGAAAGGAAAGCCAAAGCCAACCTCAGCTTTCTGGCAAATTATCAGCATTGCCTTTGGCTATACAAAGTCAGGACATGTGGCATTAACAACAAGAATACAAACCGACAGGGATGGGCACATACTTAATAGGCAGACATCCCCTTTCCACCCATCCATAGGTTTTGTTTGTCCAAGAAATTGCTACTGAACAGAGAGAGAAGAACTGCTTGCCTATGTACGTACGCAACTGAGCAATCTCATTTTATCAGAGTCAAGTACAACCTTGAACAGGAATATACAGCTTAACAGGATATACTTAGACTGAAAACAATGGGGCAGACAGGAAATTGAGTTACTTGTGAAATACTTTACTATACACTTTCTAATTGTTCAGTGTTTTCTCTCTCCTTAGGAAATAGCTTTTTTGGAGAAAAGCTTTTTCATAATGAGGCATTCATTCAAAACACTGCAACTGGCCCATCACCAAGAACCAACACTAGGAATAACTATAGATAACTAGTTATTCAGACCCAATTCTGAATAGCTAGTCTGGCAAATACATGTTTACTAGCTCACTAGAAACTAGACCTGTACACAAATTATAGAATCATTGAGTTGGAAGAGACCTCGTGGGCCATCCAGTCCAACCCCATTCTGCCAAGAAGCAGGAAAATCACCTTCAAAGCACCCCCGACAGATGGCCATCCAACCTCTGTTTAAAAGCCTCCAAATAAGGTGTTTCCACCACACTCTGGGGCAGAGTTCCACTGGTGAACAGCTTTCACAGTCAGGAAGTTCTTCCTAATGTTCAGATGGAATCTCCTTTCCTGTAGTTTGAAGCCATTGTCACATTGTGTCCAAACTCCAGGGCAGCAGAAACTCCTCCCTATGACTTCCCCTATGAAAATATTATATCCTATCAATAAATACATGCATACATACACTCACATATGAATCTGCATTCATTTTCAAAAGTCAGAATCTATCCCATTTGACCTGAGCAGAGAGACGTAGTCTACAAAAATTATGCAGGTTTTGTACTATTCAGCTGGAATACTTCTCCATCTCAACACCTCTGTGTAGCTATGCTGAATCACTTCTTTGCCTCACTTAACCTCTTAGTACAACTGGACGAATGGCAGAAGGTATTTGCATATCTCATTAGGATGATCTGAGGTTCTCCAAAATCCTTGTTTATTTTGGGAAGCCTCCAGTGGGAACATCCTTTCACAAGGACGTCCGATTGAAATCAACCAGACGGGATCCAGATATGCTGCAATGCAATTCCTGGTGTCAAGGCAATACGTCAAGAGCAGATCTGGCAAGATCTCTCCAAGCACAAAGTTGGGACAGAGAATTTATTTCCATTTATTCCTGCAAAACTATGTGAACTAGCCAGAAAGTTATTTGAGGGTGTAGCCAGTATCGCAGATAGGGTTTGCCAAAAGGCAAACTAAAGAGGACTCTCTATCTAGTGCTGTTGCTAATTGCCATCAAGTTGACTTTGACTTATGGTGACCTCACAGTCACCCTGTCGTCAAAGTCCTGCTCAGGTCTTGCAAACCCAGGGCTGTGGCTTCCTTGGTTGAGTCTACTCACGTGGAATGTAACCTTCCTCTTTTCCTCCTACTTTCTACCTTGTTGAACATTGTCATTTCTAGTGAATCATGCCTTCTCATGATATGACCATTTCAGTGTAGTCAATGTAACATCTAGAGTAGGCATGGGCAAACTTTGGCCCTCCAGGTGTTTGGACTTCAACTCCCACAATTCCTAACAGCCGGTAGGCTGTTAGGAATTGTGGGAGTTGAAGTCCAAACACCTGGAGGGCCAAAGTTTGCCCATGCCTGCTCTAGAGCTCTCAGAACCATTTATTTAGAGCTTTTTTTTAGCAGTCCATGATATGACTAGAACTCTCCTCCAGCACATTTCAAATGAATTGACTCTCTATCAATCAACTCTCTTCGCTGTCCCGCTTTCACAACCACACATGGAAATCAGAAATACAATGGCATAGGCAAGCCTGACTTTAGTATTCAATGATATGCCTTCTATGGTTGTGTTGAACAGGGCATTTCAGTAAGTGTTGCTGGTTATCTTGTCTTGTGAGGTAACCAACAATGGGCAAAAACCCATTGTTGGTTACCTCATAAGACAAGAAAACAAGCAGCACCTTCTATACAATCATCAAAAGTGCATGGGACCTCTCCAGTCTTGACTCTGACCAACATGATCACAGATGTGGCCAAAGACACACTCAACAATATTTCATAACCCACTGACTTAGGTTGCCATTTACAACTGGATGTATTGCATCTAGACACCCACATTTAGCTTACGAAGGGCCCTTCCACACAGCCATATAACCCAGAATATCAAGGCAGAAATCTGCTTTGAACTGGGTTATCTGAGTCCACACTGCCATATATTCCAATACAAAGTAGAAAATGTGGGATTTTATTCAGCTGTGTGGAAGGGGCCCAACATTACTTAGAAACATAGACCATAAAAGCCATCTAATCCAATCCATCCTCTGCAACTTAATATTTTGTTACTGCTAACATTAATTACAGAAGGGTCAGAGAGAGAGAAAGGTACAGCAGTACACGCTAACATGTT